CATATTTCATCTGACACATCAGCAACGATCGTGTGTGTTTTTAAGATGTGCATTCAAGAAAATAAAGAACATTAATGCAGGGAGTTTATGTATCGGAAGTTCTGGACTAACGTATATTTATAAAAACAATATCCATAAGCACCACTTTATGGCCAAAGGACTATTAAACTTGGATTATATTGCACACTAGGTTAAGCCTGAAGTTGCCGTAGTAGCCTGCATTAAGCCTTCAGTGGAGTCCCTAGGGCCTGCCTCATCTGACTGGGAAGCTACGCCGAGCTTCCTGCCTGGAAGCTGACCTGGCTTCTGCCTGTGTGGTGACCTTCGTGGCTGGGGACGGCCGTCTCCCCTAAGGTGGGGTGCGCTGGCCCTACAGCCCCCGTGCAGAACGTCCCCTTTGGCTTGCTGCCCTTCTGCCGTGCTTTCCTCCTGCTGCTCCCGTAACGGGGAGGGATTGGGGCAGGATATCACGAAAAGGGCTGCTCTTGGCACAGAAGGGACGTGAAGCAGGCAACCTGTGATACGGGCCGTGATGTGTGATGTGTTTGGAGAGCAGCAGCCCAGGTAACGCAGGGACAGCGTGACAAAACAGTGGTTCCCTCCGATATTCCTTTAATGGACTTCAGCATCTCTCCAGGTATTGTTGTAAGGAAAGCTGGATTATTCTCTCAGCATCTGTGAAAAGTGTCTTAAATTGCAGAATAAGCAAAAGCAAAATGGCAGTGATCTGCAACTGCATTTCACGTGGTGTTTCCCTCCTCCCAGGGTCTTTCCTATCTCTTTCCTTATCTGTAAGATGCAGTTTTTACTGGAAAGCGCCCAAACCTTCAGACAGAGGAATTAAATTATGCAAGTGAGCAAAAATGATATACAGAAAATTGTGTGTTGCTAGTCCTTGCACTGCTATACAGGTTTTATGCCTAGAACGAAGTCTTTCCATTCTTTCAGTTTAAGCATTTACTAAAGCAGATCTCCAATAATTTACTTGTAATTATACTGGAAAATGAATGTGATCTCTGTAACTCACTAAAGGCAGCTTTCTTGCATTAGAAAAATGACTTCCATGTCACGTAGATACAACTGTGCAGACAAAAGTCTAATTAAAAATGTACCGGTTTTCCTTCAGTCAGTATTTACTTTGTATTGTGGGATACTGCCTTATTCAGTCACCAATTTATAACTTAGTATTTGTACCTTTATTTTGCAGATCATTGAAAAAAAAGTTGCTGTCTGCAGCAAACTAGGATGCGTTTAAGATCTTAGTATACAGCCAGTAACAACCTTTTCACGCTTTTTCCCCTTATTCAGGAATTTCCACTTTTCCTTTGTAGCTATGTTAAGTAAAATACTTTAATGGGCACTGGTGTTTATAACTTTATTCATTGGAGTGAATAATTATTCTTGCACATTTTCAAAAAGCAGCAAATCTGAGGGGCTGTCTTAAGAACACACAAATATCGGTCTTAAAGACAGTTTTGTTTCTCATTTTATCCTGTTTATGTCGTAACTGAATCACTGAATTCTGCAGCTAATGTAGTTCGTTTTTTCCTCATCGTTCCCTAGTTAGAGCGTGGTTTAAATCTGACAGAACTGACTGAAATACTTGGCTCTTTCCAAAGGTATCGAGTTTCATCAGAGAGCAGGCACACGAGCAGATTCAAATGATAGTTATTTCTCTAAAGGAAGAGTTTTATTCCAAAGCAGACGCGTTGATTGGAGTGTGTCCAGAGGTAACAATTAATTATTTGCAGATTTTGTTAAATAATACGCGCTGGTTTTTGCTGAAGTACTGATTTACACCTTAACTGTTGCTACAGTGAATTATGTACGTAATTGTGTTGCTGGGTTTGAGCTACCTTGTGTTCAGAAACAAGTGCAGGTGCTGGCTCGATGAAAAGATCATTCTGGTAACTCAAGCTCATTATTGTATCTCAGTCACGAAATGCTTATTTTAAATAACAGAAATGTTTTAAACTGTATGGTCCTTCCTCTTCTCAGCGTGACGACTTGATGTTCAGTCGAGTACTGACTCTGGATCTTACCGAGTTCCCAAACGGTGAGGACCAGGAAAGGACAGCGAAGCACAGACGCGGTTCTGTTTCGGAATAGAGCATGGATGATTTCAGGGCCAGGAGCAAGAAGTGTGTTTCTGGCTGGCTGTTACAAACCTGAGTTGGAGTGTGGCTGTTAGAAGTTGAAGACATGTTCACCTTTCACATGAAACGGGTTTCTGAATGTTGCCCGCAGTAACTGTCACTCACTGATACGGCTGTGTTAACGTGTGAGAGAGCGCCGTAGGTTGTTACTGAAACATGCACATCCTGGTATGCAAAGCTTTCTCCACAAAAGTTTTGGGGTTTTTTTTTTTGCCTTAAGCTGAAGGAATAGAGGTTCACATGGGCACACTATTACAAAGAATAAGCCTCTTGCTTTTGTTACGAAAAGTAATGTGTGTGGCCGTGTCTCCAGCACGCCGTTGGGATACATGTCAAGACCTTTACAGTCGCTCTCTTTTGTGTTGCATCTGGGTCTGTTGCCTTCAGATAGGATTATTTTTTCCTTTGTTTTCTTTTTAAACAACAAGCTGTTGGAATCTGCCAGTTCTCTTATGTGACTTTTCGGATGCCCAGTAAGACTTCAGACTGCAACTTTATGAAAATATTAGTTAACTTTGGAAAAGCTCCTGATAAATCTCTAGGTGTGATGTAACCTGAAAAAATTTCATCTTTGAGGTATTTTACCCCACACAAAAGTGGAAAGAATAAAACCGGTGTGAGTCAGAAGCCATGCAGGTAGCAGCCTTAGAAAAAAGTATATTTGTTGTTATGTAGCTGTCCCAGTAATGTCAACTTTATTTTGATGGCCATGCTTTTTCATCTAGGAAGCAAAGCTAATAAAGGTTGCAGAACACTGAGAGCGCTTCGGTCGCTTCATCTGGCTTATGTTTCACCTTGATGTATGTGGAAAAGAGCTTTATTTGGTTTATGGTTGTTCATGTTCTTATGTTCATATGCCAGCTTCCTTTTGTCCTTGTACCGTGCCACGGATACTGTGGGTGCTGCACACAGCTGGTGATGTGTGGACACCTGGGGTCACTGCCGAAGGAGGGACTGGCAGACGAGCAGCAGTTGATGTGTTCCTGTGGGAACACTTCTACCACATAAATGCGTCCACTTATGCTGTTGACAGATGTTTGTCAAATACTTATGTTGCTGCCACACTTCATTAAATAAAATTATTTACTCTGAGTGCGAGTCCTGGCTTAGCGTTAGTGCCTTAACTCAGACTCCACTGACAGATGTGGAAATACAGCAGTGTGAGCCATGACCAGAGCAGCCTCTGGTGATTCTCAGAGACCTCTGACCCACAGCAGTCCGTCTGCTGCAGATACAGGAGCTGTGCTTTGGTTGATGCTTTTTTTAACCATTTGCTAGGGACAGTTGGTTGAAGTAGGAAAATACAGTAAAGAATTGAACAGTGGAGAATGGTGAAAGCTACACATTAAAATGTTACATTTTAAAACGTTAAAGCTACTGTACAAGAGTGGTCTACTTGGCTTTAAAAATTTTATTAAAGGCGTGTATCAGAGATGTCCTATCAACCTCCTTACACAGCTTGAGCAAAACAGCATAGTAAAGGGTCAACAAGTTTGTTTTCAGTAAGTATCTTACTCCCATTAAAAAAAAAAAATTAATTAGGTAGAAAAAGAGCTCTCTACAGTAGAATCAGCAACCATCATGTACCATACCAGATTGTGTGGTTGGTTCTTTCAGGGTACTCAGGTCATAATTTGAACAAGTTGCTCTTTCACTGCACAGAGGAACGGAACAGACACGTTTCAGGGTCTGTCCCTTCTGACCGTACTTTAAACCCTGAGGTAGCCGCGAGGCAGTCCTGTCCCTGAGATGACTACACCATAGTGTTTGATTGCGGGGCAAAGAAACCAGAATTGGGCATTTCTCCCTTCTTGCTGTGTATGTTAGGAATTACAGTAACTCCCACCACTGGCCCAGACCGTCCATCCCGCTGGGGCTCGGCTCTTTACTGGTGTGTTTTTGGTGGCTGCTGGCCTTCACGGCTCCCCGGCCTGCGCTCAGGAAGAACCAACCCTTCTGCTGTCGGGTGCGGCTCAGCCGCCCCAGCAAGCGAGAGAGCAGTGAGTAGCTGGGAACGTTTTCTTCTTTAATGGAGAAAACTGCATTTTAGAAGATGAGTCCCCTCCGTGTTTCTGTACCGGTCTGCCTGAGAACCAGCACCCGTGCCCCAGCCTCTGCTCACTAACCCACCTACTACACTGAGCACTGAAAGAACACGCCTTCTTCGAAGCAATTTTGTTAGCTTTCACCCCTGCAGAGTTGTTTGAGGGTATTTAAGTATTTGAGATCAGAATTACTCTGCTACATACAGGGCAACTGGAGCTTGCTTGCTTTTAGGGAAGCAGAGGGAAAAAGGGAAGTCTTACGACGCAGTCACTAAAATCCTGGGGAAGCAGCAGTAGCTCCCTGTTGTCTACCTTTTAATTCCTAGTTTTCTCTATAAAAATCTTTTTCTAAAGCAGGCTGGTTTTCTTTATTCCTCATCAGTTACTACAGAGAAAGGCTGAGACACAAATGGCTACATCATGTTCATCTGATTGTGAGAAAAAGAGAAGAGGCCTGCAGTAGCGCTTCCTCCAGATGAGGCGTACGTACTAGCCAACCTCTGGTCACACCAGTGAAACTGGAGGATCGAGTGAAGATTCCATCTTCAGTCCAGGCCTCTGCTAAGTGCTATCCAAGGTGACTAAATAAATTGGGTCTCATTAGGACATGACAGGGTATCATACACTGCAAGACTTCAGAAAAGTTGTCCTTAGTTCATCGATGCCGTTCCTCACGGGTTGCCTGGTTGTGTTCTGTAGCTTGTTTGGGATTGGCATGGAGCAGAATCCTGCAGGCCTCACACACAGCAGTTCAGCTGCATTTCCACCCTTGGCTTGAATCGGGTTGTTCACTCGGAGCCTAACTGTGGTCTCGGTTCACCGTGTTGAATAGTCTGAGACACACACCTTGTCTCTGCAGAAGAATCTTCTGATGCCCTGGTGGGCAAGGGAAAGGCTTTGTTAAGTTCCAGTGGCGAGGGAGCGGAGCCTACTGTCACAACATTTTGCAAAGGCGGACTGCTGCTTGTGTCATTTAGCATCAGAAGTGCCCACAGATTTTATTTTTTTTTTTAAATAATCATTTGCAATGCAGTTTTTGCTTTCTACCTAGGAGACCCTGGCAGACCTGACTGAATACAGAGCACTTTCACCATTTTCAGGTGAATGAAACAAGTGAGTCTTCGCAGCCCTAATACCCACCATTTCTAAAATTCAGTTCACTCCCTCCAAAAGTTCGGTTTAGGAATCGGTCAGGCCTCACTGATTTCCGGGGCAGGAAGCATAGAAGACTAGGGAACACGCCTAGACTGGCTGAGTTAGCTCCAGCAAAGCCTCACTTATTAATTGCAAGGGGTAATTTATTTCTCCTGGGGAGGAGGCAAATAAATGAAAAACCAAGCTATTAATTAGGACATTGTGTAATCTTTACAAATGCCTGCACTCCTTTAGGCAGTTTCCAAACTCCTGAATAGATGGAAAGCTGCAATATGTAAGAAAGAACATACAGGCTTTAAGGACGTGCACCTCTCCTTTTTGTTTCCAGCAGTCCTCAGTGAAGTCTGGGAGCTCGTAAGCTTAGGGCTGTGTAATAATTACAAGAGCTGCTGATCTCAGGGAAGGTGATGATAAAGTAGTCTTTTCCCATTACCAGCTCCACAATCTGGGGGACGCCATCTGCTCTGTCACCTCAGACAAGACCAGCAGCAGTGGCTTTGGGGCACAGGGCAGAAGGCTGATGACTGTGGGTTTAGATGCTGAAAGCTCTAAGGTGTAGCAGTACTTACACGACAGCAGCGGACACAGAAGCAAGGAAGGCAGCAAGCAGAAGGAACACGAGAACACTGAGGACTGCTGTAATGACAATCATGCCTCCGCTCCTTCGACCAGGCCACGTATCAATTTTCAAGGGAAGTTTAGCTAGAAAAGCATGGAAAGAACGTTCCTGTGGTCTGTTTTTGACCATGAACACCCCCAACAAATAGGAGCAAGGTGATTTAGGTGAGGCAAACTGCCTGCCTCTATACCTGAAGCCTTAGATGATTTACGGGAAACAGGTTTAACGCTCAATGTCAGCATTTAGAGTTTCTAACCTTTCCTCAGCAGGCTGGCCAGTGTGACTGCATTGCTGAGAAATGTCAACAGCACCAAATACCATGACATGCATCAGATCTGAAACTGCACATACAAACTTTACTAAAATAATTGTTCTGAAGTACACAAAAGAAGTAGAGAACTATTCCATATTTAAGCCTGTTATTGCAATATTGAAAGGCTGACAAAACTGTTCAAACTTTAAAAAAAGGACCAAGCGTTGCTCCTAGAGCAACAGTGTCCGAAGGCAAGCAAAGCTACTCGGAAGACCTGAGCAAAGCCACAGACTTACCTCTTCTGGTTTTGACTGGATCAGACCAGAGAGTTTGGTCTTTCAGGGTACCTTCGGTGCTATCTACCAACACGTATTTAAACCTGTGAGAAAACAAGTGTTAAAATGGGTATTTCCAATTTGAGCTTCCTTACTAGCATTGTTAAGCTCCTGGGTTAGCTGGTTAGACTTCAGGTTTCGTCAAAGCGTTAGGTGCAGGCAGTCAAAGGTAGCTGACTGTTTCCAAAGACCTTAGAAAGAACAAACAGAATTAATCACGGAAAAGCGCTCCGTGCCATGTCGTGCGCAGTTTGCACTGCTTTCCTGTCAGCCCTGGCAGATGATGGCTTTCCAACAACAGTTTTTCCCCAGTTTACTATTCCCTGTTGTCAAAAGCCTCATTATTTAAGATGGCAAATGGTTTTGATTTCCACAGGAAAGTCGAAGATTTTGTCCAACAATGGAGATCTCTGTCACTTTCCCTGCTATAGGAGAGTATTGAAGAGACAGGCCCACATCAGATTTGACAAAGAAATTAAGTTTCCATGCCACAATAGTTTGAGTTTTCAGAAATGTCCTGAAGAGACAGAAGAGGCAGGACGGTTTCTCCAAAGCTAAGAGCCCTAGTGTTTTGTTTCAGAAGCACAGCAGGTCTCCATAGCTGATATGGCTCTGTGTGATTATCATTTTTACTATGGTTTTTAAATAGCAACAGCAAAACGAGTGCTTCAGGTAACAGCTGTCAGGGTGTCCGAGTTCCCCAAACAAAAGGGGTCAGACAAATCTGCAAGCCACCTGGGCCCTCGCTGGGAAGTCTCCAGTCACGTTAGGGATTTCCTGGAGCTGCAGACCAAGGGCAACTTTGGTTCCCCAGAACAAAGCCAGCAAAGCCATATCCATGTCTGCAGTGTGACAGCATCGCCCAACACAAAATACATGGCGAGTAGTCTCAACGTAATTTTCCACTCAAAACCCTTTTCTACCAGCAATTTCTAATCAGGTGCTGTCACTGGATTACCTACGCCAACACGGGTACAGATCCAGCAGTTGACACATGAATTTTCTTACTTATCCATGAATTTAACCTGATGGAGCTCATCATGGCTAGGGCACCATCTGTGGGATGCTAGTCCCAAGCCATCTTCGTAACTACTCTTGCAATAAACCATTTCAGTTAAGGACTTGCCATTCACATCATACCGTGACAAAGGAGCATTCCAGACTTGGTTTTGTTTCCTCTTGTGTTTTAAGAGCAGCAATGGCCTCGTAAGAAGTAAGAATGATACCTGTATGTTGTGTCTGGTGCAAGAGGTGGGTTACAGACAGCCAGGAAGTTGGGGTCATACAAACACGTCCCGTCATTGCCGACTCTGAAGAGGTATCGTGCCAGGACATCGGAAACTTTGTTGGCATCTCTGACATCAGTGAGCTTGGGAGGTGAAGCACAGCTGGGTACGTTGAACAACGCAGCCTTGTAAGGTCCAAGCTGTCCCCCGCTTGTTTGTTGGAAGGTGCTGTCCAGTGGTTTGCTCTTGTTGGTCACCAGGGAGCTTACTGCACTTGCTGTAGGAGAGATGCTTTTTAACAAGGCTGTTAGAACTAGTTCAGCCCTTTCCATTCACTCTGTATTTACTTGAGAAATTGCTCTTCTGCTCCAAAACACCCCAAAGGGAAACCAAAAATCTGCTACCGGTTTGGCTGCATAGTGATCCTACCCCTTCCTCCTTGTTTGTTGATGAAGCTGTTTACCCCTGTCCCTCAGAAACTGTGCAGGATCCACAGCGTACCTCAGAGCAACAGTTTTAGTAGCCACCCTCCCAAAATTCCTTTTTCCCAAGGAGAATCTGACGGAGTGGGGAGTGGGCTCCCCCAAAGGCTGCTCTCCCCCCTGTGACACAAGGCTCCAGTAAGAATCCGGTATGTCCTGCCACTTCAGATTTGATACTATAGCCAAGGCAGAGTTCCTACAGAGCCACAACTCTCCCATCTCTTCCAGCAGAAACCATTAGACCCCTGGTCACACAGCATCTGGACCTCCCAGAACCACACCGTATGCAGACCAGCATGAACAGACGCAGTATCTGCATTTCTGGCCTGCCAGGCACGCCAGTCCTTCCAGACAGTGTGCCACGGAAAGTCTGAAAGTCCCTACAGCTTCAGCCAAAATGTGCATCTGTGCCCAGCCCTACAGCACAGTTTGGAAACTGAGCTGCAGCTCTCAAAGCTTTCCTGCTGCAAAGCCAAGGCTCAAGTCCCAGGAGATGCTCCCACATTCTGAAACTGCGGGTTAAATTTTTTGGGGGGGACCCCCTCCAGCTGTTCAGTGCTGCCAACAGCGAAGGAACGCCCGGTTTTCCAAAGCTGCAACTACACTGGGAACTACTTCAGATCGGAAGGGTCCTGCTGTGCCACGGGATCAGAGTGCTCACAACTGCTCGGTCATGAGAAGTCTTTAGCTATGATCCAGTGCAAAATTAAACCTGTTTTGATAGACAAGAGTTTCTAGCACAGGTTAGAAATACAATTTCAGGGTCAGTGCTCAAGTTAGTTGAGCCCCGACACCGCTCTCTTCAATGGGAGCCAATAACACGAAAGCAAATACTAGCTAAGACTTGCTCTACTCTTAGGCTTGCTTCCCCAAATTATAATACTTCTCACAGGTAGGTCTTCTCGCTCTCCTGGTCTCCACTTCAGTAACTTAGCCTAGCTGTGGTGAGCAAGTAAGAGCTAATGCCTAAGCAAGTTCATTTTGGGTTTGGGGTTCTTTTGTTTTGTTGATTTTTTTAAACTTTACTGGGTAGATCAAGTCTGATAGTGACATTAACGAGAACAGGGCTAACAGTTACATTACTTCTTCAGAAATCTGCTAGACCATCAGCTTTGTAGTATGCTGACACATTTCCTGACCACTTCTCTTAAATTTCTCTTCTCCCTGCTCTAGGAGGCAGCCAAGGGTGAGCCAATGTGCTTCTCTGCAGACCAGAGACAAATCCAAACAAAATTCCTCCCAGTCTGCAGGGTAAAAAGTTTGCATCTGCTTGCCTTAAAAGCAGCAGAAGAGATTTTCTCTGTATGTAACCACTTTTGTAGAGATTCACCCATCTGTGTAGGAAGCTTTTACCGCAGAATCCGCAGAAGATGGGGCGGCTGACGTAGCTTCTAACAGAAAACATCAGATAAAGTTGCACATTTGCAGGTGTAACTAGGCTACCAGGTCAGTGTAGCCTTTTATATAATTATCATGCACTTGCAGTCTTTTCAGATGCATAAAGATGTGCACATCAGTTGTGGGACGTGTCTCAGAAGGTCCTGTGCTCACAATTGTCTATGTTAGCTGTATGGGATGGTGTCTCTATGGCTTCTACCCATCCAAGGCCTCTTTCTTCCACCTGGTCCAAATTGGCAGCAATCCGCAGAAGAAGTCTTAGGCTGGTTTGTCTGTTGGCCAGTTTCTCTGCTGCCCCCCTCAAGATCTCTTCTCTGTGCCTCTTGGAAAAGGAGGCTGTGTACAGCCTTCAGGGGAGAAGGCATCATACAAGGCAGTAATTTATATTTCTGTCAGCTTACGGAGTAGCTCCAGCTGGCACTCAGAACAGTCTGTCAGAGCAGCAGGGAACAGAGCAGGCAGCTCCTGGTCACTGCCAGTAACGTTTCATTGCCAGGCAGCTAGGAAATTCATTTTATGAATGAGCCCGTGGGTCAGGCATCTTTGACCACGAGTCTAACATGATTTCCCTTTATCTATAAACAGAAATGTAGTCCTTATAAGGGCTGGTTGCCCTAGCTGTGAAGCAAACAGCAGCAGTTACCCAGTTTCTCTCAGCAGGCTTTTATACAAGGCATTTGTGTTTAGACAAAGATACGGTACCGGGCTGTGGACCGCTTGGTTTCATGGAAAAGATTTGGGTAAATGTTTGTAGCTGGTACTGCTACGTGGCACCTACTGGGAGTCAGCTAACACAGTACTAATGCTACCATTAATGAGCCCCATTGAAATACTTCAGTTATTTATATTTTATAATACTACTCTGAATAAAACAGACACCAGAGGGTTAACCTGTACATAGCTTACAGCTACAGATTTTTCTCTTTTCCCCCATTCAGACCCCCTCCCACCAAATTACGAGGAATTGTGTTCAGTGGCCACATCATGTAGTTATCTTGCCGAGAGGATTAACGCTGGATACTCACCCGATTCCTTCATTGCATACAAGTAGATGACATAAGATTTATTTAGAGACAGTGAGCTGTCAAACATACAGAAAGGTTTTTCCAGAGCAACTGTACTGAGAGTGGGATTGTTTGTGACAAGCTGAGGGGCTGCAGTCCGAGGCTTCAGGCTTTGATCTAGAAGAGAAAGTGACCAAAACAGCACAAGAAAAGCCTTTCTCTTCTCCCCCTGAAAGCTCTGACTCAAAAGGAAAAATCTGGCAGTGCTAACAAACACTATTAAAATGTAAAAGGCAGATACGAACTGCAGCTGAGCAGGAACCAGCCTACCTGCCCTGTGAAAGTTTGAGAATTAGGCGTTTGCTTTAATGCAAAATGAGGAACTCCAGGATTTGGGGAGGGAGGTAAGAGATGTTGCTCCTCAAACATACTGGTCCTATCACCTCAGAAGGACAAAGGCAAAGCCTGATTAGAGGAGACACCTGAACCTCTGTCTTTGGAGAGCCTCCCCTCTCCAGTGGCAGCACCAGAAGCAGTACAGTCAGTTCTTTAATCCTTTAGCAGCGTGGAGCCTTAATAAGGTTTTTAAGATCAGGCTTGTTAACATACAGAGTGAGAGATTTAGGAGAGGAAAGCTGTCTGGGAGACACCCTGGAGAGAGCAAGTGGTATGAGAATAAAGTTTATATCAGACACCTTACCCCTCCCCACACAAGCTCATCGCGTGTCCAGTCTCCTGGGGAAGATTAACTACGACCAAAGAGAGAGATTCAGCAGCTCCTCCTTCCTAGCCTAGCTACAGTAGAGACACTTTAACAACCTTCCAGCAGAATGTACATGTGAAGCCCTGAACTCCCCTCCCAGTACAGATCCTAGAGCAGAAAGCTGACATCCAAGACAAAACAGAAAGGGAAGAGATACAAAGAGAAGAGCAACTCAGAAGAAGAGACCGCAGATGGATGCCTCCTACCTGCACGCAGCTGTCCCAAGCAGCAGAAGACTAACACAACCCAACGGCTGCACATGCTGGAGCCCTCCAGAAACCTGCCAGAAAAGGGAAACCCAAGCTGGGAGGCAGCCCCCGCTGCAGAGCTCCCACATCCATCCCCTCCCCGAAGTCAGCCAAACCTGCTCCTCTCCACGAGGTCGCGGGGGTTAGGGGTTGCCCACCCTCCCCACACCTCCCTATATGCTTACTCCCCTCCTGCTGGGTGCCACCCACACCTCCCCATTCCCCCACCCCCGGCTATTACCTGCTCCCAGGTGAGGAAGGATGTTGCAGCTTTGATTTCCACCTGATACTGGGCACCAGTGTGGTTCTCAGCAGTGCTGTGGGGGTAAAGAGAGAATTTTTTCCCACTTGTGTCATTGATAGGTGGCTTTGTTCCTTACCTTCTTCTAAAAACTTTTGAAATCTGGCAGCCTGAACAGAGCTTACAATCACCTTCTGAATTGTGTTTCCTGGGTTACATCCTAAAAAAGAAAGCCTCCTGCTTCTGGTTAACTCTGATGTGATTCAGGGCAGCTACAGGATGAGCAAACCACTGGGAAATCTGACTCGAACCTGTCGTACCGAATTGTTCAGCTGAGAATATTCTTGATGAGTAATTGCTATTACAAATGGTCTATTACATAACAGCTCAGATTACAAAATTATTAATCACCCACTTAAAATAAACTGAAGGGAAAAAATAAGTATCAGTAAGATTTTACAGAATCAATAGGGCTAAAATGATGTCACTGCAGCAACTCCAGATTTACACTTATATCACTGCAGTAACATTACCAAATCCATCTTCTTTATGGACATGCCATGGGCCCCAGAAATCTGTTTGAAATATGTAATCAAATGCTTATGATGCAATATCCTCCCCGCAGGTGTCTCATTTTATTTCATATTCTGCATGCCATCCTCAGTGTGGTCGGTTTGACTTCTTGCTCACACTGAGGGAGAATGCAGAATGCAGGAGTTACCCTGGATTTGCACTGCTACAGGATAAGAACAGGTTGTGTTACTCCTGCTCTCCCTACAGTGCACTTTAAGCCTGCGCTGGCATAAATACTCAGGTGAATCAGATTAAGCCAGAAAAGATCTTACCCTTCTATATTTTATTACTAGGAATCTGATTTTTAACACTGACACTAGGGGGCTGAGTTGTACAAACTTGGTGCTTCTCGGTTCAAGAGCGTTTTTATCCCTAAAACAACACGATAACACACAAAAACTGCAAGGTTTCTGACTCCACAGTAAAAGCAGCTTAACAACAACAAGATCTCTTTCTCCATCATAAAATCAATACTTTCTCCAAACGGCGATTCCTGTAAAATCAGATCCTGAATTCTTTAGACAGGTAACCCTTCCAGAGCAATCAGAAGTGGCTTTTTTTTTTTTCCTTAAGACAGAAAATAGACACATTATTTGCCAGCTCTGTGTTATCTCTGCAAGTCAATGAGCAGCATCAAAAAACTGATTTTTTAAGGAGTTCATTCTCATAGTTTGGTGACATGATATACAGCAACTTCTCATGCAAAAATACGGTATATGACTAGAACGAGAGATTTGGGGAAAAAAGGATCCTGATTTACAATTGCTGTAGGAAAGGGAGAGAAGCGCTTGAACCAGCTGTGTTTGTATGGTTTGTAGTTTAACGTGACATTTATAGAGTTTCAGTTTACAATAGCCTGAGATGCTTCAGTGTTCTTCTACAGCCTCTTTGAGATCACATGGTGGGTGTGGTGGGTATGCTCGGCAGTAAATAGCTTTGGTCAGTGCCTGAAGGCGGAGGAGAAGTCAATTTGATGCTGTAGAAGGCATTTGCAAAAATACATCACAGACTATTTTTTTTTTTTTTACATTGAAAAGTGAAACAGCCACTCAAGAAAAAATATAAGAAAGGAAGACAATGT